CCGCACCACAACCCCCCTCTCGCCCAGTTTTCCCCCCGGCCCCTCACCCCGCGGCTTGCCCCATGGCTTAGAATATACATAGATATGCTACTAATGTGAAATGCATGTGTTGAATGTACCGAGCGAATAGTATACGTACAATGGACCTGCAGGTGAGAGTGACATTGATGCGAGTTTGGGTAATGATGAATGAATGGGTTTAGAGTGAATGAAGAATTGAGAATAATTAGTGTAAGTAATTACAATGTGATAATTGGTGTGTCATGGAATGAAAGAGGAAGTATGGTAGGATTGAAAAATAATAAACTTAGCTAGAAGAAAAAGAGTAATGACTAGAGTGAGTAAGAAGATGATTGAAATGAGAGCGGGTGAGATAAGTATGGAGTTCGCTGAATTAGAGTTCGAAGAAAAGATTGAGAAATTGATGGATTGGATTAGGGATGTGAATAATATGATGTGAATAATGTGATCTTTGGAAGACAGACTGAAGGCAGGGTACACGAAAGAGTGAGATAGTGGATGGATAAGCTGGAGCGAAAGAGAAAGAAGGTGAGGAAGAAAAGGAGAATGTATCAGAGGGCAAGGAGACTAGGGAAGGAAGAAGTGAGGGATCTATATACGAGGTAGTCATTGCGTGAAGGAGTATAAAAGCCAGATGCAGCAGAAGAAAAATGATTGGAAGGAGTTCGTTGGTAAGGAAGGGAATAGGGATCCGTGGAGTGTGAAGTAGGGGGAAGGTCTGTAGGGGGAAGAAGAAGACGAATGTGATGAGTGTAGATGGAAGAATGACGGTTGGTTGGAAAGAGATTATGAATATTTTATTGAATGAGTTCTTTCTTAAGAGTGCGATGCGATGTGAGAATGGGTCGAGTGCGAGTTCGGATGGTGACAACGAATTTAAGTGGGACGAGATTGAGCGAGCTGTATGGAGTATATGTATGGAAAAGTGCCTGAAATGGATGGAGTGACTGCGGAAATGGTTAAGAGAGTCTGGATGACTGTACCTGTGCGAATGAAAATGTTGTTATGATAAAAGTCTGTGAAAGGGTGTGTTCCCGAGAGATTGGGAAAAGGGTAGAGTGGTGGTCTTACTAAAGTCCCCAGAGAAGGTAAGGACGGATCTCAGGTTGTATCAGCTGATATGCTATCCGTCCTTGGAATGGATGATGGTTGAGAGGTTGCAAATATGTATGAGGACGAAAATAAATGAGAAACAGACAGTACGACTTTACACGAGAAAAAAGTATGGACGATGTGTGGATGTATTTAAAGAGGAGTGTGAATGAATCAGGAGAAAAGTATGTAATAGGTGTATTTGTGGACTTTCAGGGCGCGTTTGACAATGTTGGTCAGCTGTGCTAGATAGAATGCGTGAGATTGAATGTGATGACTTAGCGATGTGGGTAAGTTATTTTAGGGATAGAAAGGTGTGTGTAACAAGTGAGAATGATATCATATAGAAAGATGTAGAAAAAATGTGTTTTCCAGCAAGGATCAATTTGTGGGCCTACGGTGTAGAATTTTATGATGAATGATCTGTTGAATGATTTGATTGAGAATGGATGTGATGTGGTAGTATATGCTGATGATGTGCTCATGTTAGTTGAAGGATCGAATAGGAAAGAACTGGAGATGAAGGGGACGAAATAAATGAGAATGGTGATTGAATGGGGAGAGAGTGAAGGAATGGAAGTATCGGAAAAGAAGACAATGAGTATGATGTTGAAAGGGAAGTTTGCAAAGAGCCGATGTCCCGTTATAAGAGTAAGTTTAAAAATGTTAACGTTTGTTAGTGCGATACGATATTTGGGTGTTAATATGAATGAGCGGATGAGCTTCGGTGTGTATGTGAAAGGATTGTATGGAAAGATTGTGAATGCATTGAGTGGGCTAAAGAGAGTTATGAGAGAATGGGGACTGAGGGATATGAATGATATATAAAAGATTGTTAACAGCATGTGTGATGTATGGTGCGTGGCATGAGTGTATGGAATATGCATATGTTAGAAGGATGATTGAACGGTGTGAAAGAGTGGATTTGTATGAATGTCTGTAGAATGATGTCTACCACAGCTATGGAGATACTGATGGAAGAGCTTCCATAGATATACGACAGGTAAAACGGCGCGTAAGCATGTTCCAGATCAGAAAGGATGAGAGAGTTATCTGTGGACGGAAGAAATGATAGATGGGAAGAACTTGAAGAAATGTAAAAACGGCGCATTGATGGAGCATTGATAAGTGAGTGGCAGCATGTATGGAACAGCAAAGGAATAGCAAAGGTAGAATTACGTACGCGTGGATAAAAAAATGTAAGGTGTGTTAAGAACTGTGTATGGATTGATCCAACTCTCTCTATGGGATATCTCCTAACGGGACATGGAAGCATGAATGGGTATTTGTGTGATAGGATTAATAGTTACGACTGAGATGTGTGATTGCTGAAAAAGGAGAAAAAACTGGGTACATGTTTTAGTTGAATGTGAGATGTATGATGATATTTAGGATTTGGGTGGTTGGAGTGTGGATCTGAAGTCTGGATTGATAATATAAATGACAGAGTTGATATGAGTTCAGTAGTGTGGGATAAGGATAAGTATGAAAGGATAAGTCTGTATGCGAAGGAAGTGTTTGGGAGGAGGAGAGTGCGTGTGGAGGAGACTGTGATGGGATGATGAATGAATGTGAATCTGAGTGCGCGAGGTGAAGCAAGGAGAGATGCTGATCAGGTTGAAAGTTAGTTTCTCGGCTTCGGGGTTATGCTTCGGATTACTGAACGATTCCTATAAAGTATCTCCGGAAGGTATCCCGGCAGCTCCCAAAGCGCTGGCCGACCAGTGTCGCGCGTGTAGGAGGCGCAAACTGGGAGTAGCTTAGGCTACAAGGATCCGATCGATGATCTAAATTGGTACCGCGGAGATTGAGGCGCCCATGGGCAATTGCTCAGTCATGGATAAGATCATCACGAGGGCAGTGATTTGATCCTAGCCGCATGCTAACTAGGAATCTTTGGTCCCGACGGGTGAGCGTTACAACTTGGGAACCAGGCTGCTTAGCTAGTAGAGCATGGATAGTCGCTTACTCCAGTGAGTTGCTTGCCGGGATCAACATCTCGCAAGCGTACTGGTAGTCGCGTCATAGACGTGACGCGATGATTGGACGTATTTCAATCCCATGCCTATAGGGGCCGTGCAAGTTAAGCACTTCGGCAGGTACCGCACATTAAACTGCAAGAATGAATTACTTGGTCGTCCTGATAGACGACTACTTCCGGAAGAAAGAAACTAGAATACACAGACAGGGATGATAGCAGATGAGGTGACGGTGTCGTGCGGGGTCCCTCAGGTATCCATCCTAGGACCCTTGCTCTGGGAACTGGCGTATGATGCCGTTTTTCGCATCACTCTCGAGCCGGGAGCCGAGGTAGTGTGCTACGCGGATGACACTGATGCTCGCGGCGGGAGACGACTGGGAACGCGTGTTGCGAGACAGAAAATATCGTCGGTCCGTGATGGACCTGGGACTGGGGGTATCTCCTCGCAAGACGGAATATATGTTCTTTCATAACGGGAGGTGCGGGGAGTCTCCTCCGGCGTGGATCCTTGAAGGGACGGTCCGCGTCAGGGTTATACCCACGATTAAATATGTGGGGCTTATCCTTGACGACCAATGGGGTTTCAGCGAACACTTCGTTGCGCTGGTCCCCAGGACAGAATGGGGAACCCGCCTGATGCCCTCGGTGGCCCGGGTGACTTCGTGCGCAGGATGACGTGGGCGTCGTCATGATTGTATCGTGGGCGGATGAGGCGGAGGATAAATCGAACGTCAGAAGGGCGCTGTATTCCGTACAAAAAAGCTCATGCTACGTCTTACCCGCGCATACAGTGATTCACGCGGCGGCCTAGCGGGAGTACTGCCGGACGACTTGGCGGCCGACGCGCAGAGGGGGGCCTTCTCCTGCGACCGGGCGATCAGAGATAGAGTGGTCGACGATATTAAAACCCAAGAGAGGCACCGTGCGTACGATATACGCTGGGTGTTCCGCCCGGCTAAGTCCCATCGCGGCGTATTGCTTCGCGGTTACGTTCAGAATAGGTTACGTTTCGTAAAGTTAGGTCACGTGTTGCTTCGCCGTCGTTACTTCCTAACAGTTCGACCTAGTCTACTCGCGGCGTTGGAACCGGACCATCCCAAGATTCGGCGTTCAGTACGCCGTCGCCTTCGCCGTCGCCGCCATTGTGACCAGTGAAGGACGACATCGCCGCATGTAGGTTTTCGAAAATTCCCCCGTTCTTAATCAATGATTCGGTATTATGCTTCATTCAAGTCGAGTCCACGTTCAAGGCCTCACGAATCACAGATCAGGAGACTAAGACGCATCACGTGATTATGTCTTTGGATGCCGAAGCCATCGCGTGCTGCAGAGATCTCATCGCGGAATCCGATAATAACGAACCATACAAATTAAAACAACGTATTATTGAAAATTTTTCAGCTTCAGCAGAGAGTCAACTGCGACAATCAATAAATGGCCAAGTGCTTACGTCAGGGATACTCACAGATCCTCAGTTGACTCCGCAACTTTAACACTGACTAGCGATGCGATGACGCCATAATAAGAACTGTATTTTTTGAATACATATCGACGTACAGGCATTCTTGCGACCGAAAGCACAGATTTGGACAAGCTAGCCAAGATGGCGGATAAAATAGCTGAAACCGTGAGTGACTCTGCGCAGTGTGCTGTCGCATCATTGTCAGAATCGAAGCCGTCCGTCTGAGGAATTAAGATCAACCGTCTGGTCGCCGATATGTCCACCCTCGCGGCTGAGGTCAGGCGGTCCAGCAGATCTCAAGCGCGAGACGGAGCAAATAAAATTCGTAAGCGTTCCAAATGTAGCTCTAGTATCTGCTGGCCGCATCGCTACTTTCGGGGAACAAGCGCGATTCTGTAAGGGAACTGAAAAATCCCAGTGTCCTTGATCTAAGCCCAAGACTCTAGCGAACGGAAAGGCGGGGGAAAATCGTCTGCCACCCAGGAGACGGGCGTTGACTCTTCTGTCCGTCTCCACATCCGCGATCGAGTTACCGGAGATATATTCCTTGTTGATACGATGGCGGAAATTTCGCTGCTTCCCAGCAGATACGCGAAGAACAAAACTCCGACCAATTTCAAACTTTATGCGGCAAACAATTTGCGTATAGACACGTATGGAGAGTCGTTCCGAACGCTACATTTAAGGATACGCCCGCTCACATGGAATTTCTGCATAGCATCAGTTCCGAACCCAATTATTGGGGCCGACTTGATTGCACATTATGGTCTCCTTCTGGATCTTAAGGGTCGCAGACTCATCGATCTTCAAAACAATGTGTACGTGTCGGGCATTGTCAAATCGGTATCACAGCTTGCCATCAGCACGGTCAATCCCAGTACGAAATTCGCGAACATTTTATTTGAATTTTCGAAGGTCACCAGTTTAGAACAGGCAACTCCGAATTGCAGCAGCGATATTCGTCACATCATTAGTATGGGTCCGCCGGTAGCCGAGCATCCCAGGCAGTTAAGTCGATAAAATTAAAAGCAGCAAAGGCTGAATTTCAAAGGCTAGTCGAAGCCGGTATATGCCGTCCGTCCAATAGTCCATGGGCAAGTTCCATTCACATGGTACAATGAAAAGACGGGTCATGGAGGATCTGCGACGATTACCGTCGTCTTAATGCGATCACAGTGGATAAGTCTCCCGTACCACATTTGCACGACTGCTCCTCCTGCACGACCTGCGTGGGAAAGTCATTTTCTCTAAGCTAAATCTGCATCAGGCATACAACCAAATTCCAGTAGCACCGGAAGATATTCCAAAAACGGCTGTCGTTACGCCCTTTGGACTGTTCGAATATAAATTTATGACGTACGGGCTTAGAAACGCAAGTCAAACATTTCAGCGTCAAATCTTCCGCGCACTAGGTGACCTGGAATTTGTGTTTGCATTCGTCGACGACATTCTTATAGCGTCGACGTCTCTTGAAAAGCACGAAGCCCACTTATATAGTGTTACAGCGATTAAAAAAGTTTTACTTACGACTCAATATAGAGAAATGCGAGTTCGGCAAATAAGAATTAGAATTCCTCGGCTTTACGATTAACAGCGAAGGTAAATCGATACTCGATAAGGTTCGATCAGGCCATTCGCGAGTTTTCAAGGCCTAACACTATAGTTGAATTGCGTCGTTTTCTTAGGCTTATTAATTTTTATTGTAAACTACTGCATAACGCAGTTACCGTTTAGGCACCACTAAATGAATACCTTCGCGACTCACGCAAAAATGATAAACGGCCAATAATATAAACGCCGGCGGCTGAGGAAGCGTTTGATAAGTGCAATGAGAATCTGGATAACGCAGCTATTCTTTCTCACCCTTCCGACGCAGCTGAGACACACCTCGTTTGCGTCAGATTTTCGCCATCGGGGCCGTCCTTAAACAACGCCTAGACGACTCTTAGAAACCTATCGCGTTTTTTTCGCTCAAATTAAGTTCGGCGCAATAAAACTATTGCGCGTACGATCGGGAGCTTACGGCGATTGCCGAGGCAGTAAAATACTTTCGTTATTTCCTTGAAGGAAATTCGGATTTCCTTGACGGAATTTCAAGATTGTGACAGATCACAAGCCTCTCATCTATGCATTCATGCAACGTTCCGAAAAGGCGTCATGGCAACAGAGACAACTGTCATTCCTTTCGCAGTCGACTATGCGTATCAAATACCTCGGGCAATGATAATATTGTGGCGGATTACCTTTCCCGCATCGAAGCCAGCAGCTTACCTACAGAGATTGAACTAAATGAGCTCATACAGCAATAAGACGGAGCTACGGTCCATCCGCGAATCTCTTGAATTTCCGCTTACTATGAAGCGAATTCAATGGGGGCCGACGCATACTACACTTTATTGTCAAATGACCGGCGAGGCAATCCGCCCCTATATACCGGTATCTTTACGAAATCGCGTCTTTCGCATGTTCCATGACGCAGCTCATCCAAGTCCTAAAGTCCCTGATCGGGTAATCCGTCAACGGTATGTGTGGCCATACACCGCGACATTGCGAGGTGGAAAAATTGTCTAGATTGTCAACAGTCAAAAATAACCCGACACGTTCAACTAAATCCTGAAAAATTTATCGCGCCCGACGGTCGTTTTGAACATGTTCACATGGATTTAATAAGTCCCTTGCCTGAGTCGGACCGATACAAATATTGCGTGACGATCATTGATAGATTTTCGCATTGGCCAGTAGCAATACCTCTCAAAGCCATTTCAGTGGCACGTGCGTTTAACGACAATTGGGTAGCAAACTTTGGAGCACCTAAAACGATAACTACTGATCAAGGTAGCCGTAAAACTGGGGGAGGGGGAGGGGGAAGTAGCAGCTAACCTCTACTGTCCTTCCTCCCCAGTCCACGGAGACAAAGTCCCTCTCTCTAGGAGTACACTGTTTACCGGGGGGAGCTCGCACAGGTCAGCCACTCCAGATCGACATCCGGTCCTCCCTCCACCAAGTGTCTAAAGCAGCCCCGAACTCGGGGACGGCCCAAAGTGAGTCCCCTGCATCACGACAAAGTCACACCCCGCGCGATGGGTTGTTAAAACATAGTTGTAGTTAAATAACTTAACTCTTAAAAATGTATTAAATTTGATAATAAATTTTGATTCAAATTTAATTTATTATTTATTATACAAAGTACATAAATATAAACATTTTACTTTGAAACTTTATAAATGGGTTGATTTTGACACATATTGAAGTTAAAAATAA